CTCTTCCTACACCGACGAATTTATCACAATATGTCCTCAAATGGACTCTAGGATACCCTGAGCCGTCAAACATTTCGAACTTGGGAGGTCTGTACCCCTCGGGAATTTCAACTTCCGAATGGATGCAAAGATCCTCATAATTCAACCCTTCAATGCCTTTGTTTCATTCCACGCCCTGGACCCGGCTAGTCAACTTTTTGAGCTCAGCTGCCAGGTTCTTGATGAGAGAATCTTTGTCATCAGACTCTGGTGTGTTTGTAATGGGTTTGGTGTAGTGTGGCAAGGTTTCCACATATATGGGAGTGTGGTGGGGATGATCATTTGATGGTTCAAGGATGAGGAGTGGAGTGTTGTTGAGATATGTGTTGCAATGAGTAGCGGGATGTTTCTGCGGCTTTGGGATGTTTTGTGGAGGTATGGGGTGTTGAGCATTGGGAAAGTTGACGTCTGGAGTAGTGAGGGAGAATGACAGACTTGCCAAGTTCCGAACTTGGTCTAGCTCTTCTTGAAATTTCAGTAGCTTCTGTTCGAGCTGCACGACACTTTCTTTGGATACCTGAACACCCTGAGGAACCTCTACCCTTTCAGCTGAGTCGTCCTTTCTGATGTTGTCCATTTTTGCTTTGTTCTTGCTTTTGATAGGACTTGGAGAAGGAGGAGGTGGAGGGCCCTTAGATCTTGTGGAGTAAGCTGATGATGCCAGAATGCACGAACTAACCTTTTGGGGAGGGGAATAAAAATAAAAGTAAAAACAACAAAAGGTAACAAGTTAGTGCGGATTCTGAGAAAGAAATATTGCAGTGTTTAAACACATAGTATAAAAAAATATAAATCGTGTCCTAAATTGGGTGCCTCGTTGTGCCCGAGGTAGGCCTGGTGACAAGTTGATTTGGAGAACTTATAATGCTAAATGCCTCATTTTATTGATAAAAACAAGATGAATCCCAAAACGACACTAAAGTTGCATAAGTAAAAATGTCACTAATGGCCATTGGCCTTATTACATTCAAAAACGAAAAGGAAAGGTGACTCCTAACTATTTGGTCCCAGAAGGACCTTCCCCAGACTCGGCATCCTTGGCTCCATCGAATAGCGTCACCAGCTCACGCAATCCCAGCAGCAGATAAGCCCTAGCCAAATGTCCTCCTTCATTTCCTTCGGCGTTTTGGCAATTCTCGATCCTCCGGATGAACTTCCCTTCCAGCTCTACTAACCCTCGCTCCAAATGCCCTAGGCGCTTGTTGGCTCTGACAGCCATATCCTTCCATTCCTCGATCAACTTTTGATTAGCCTCTTGAATCTCCTGATGCTCACTCTCGCACTCCCTGATCCTTTTGCGCAACTGATTGTACTTGACCTGTATCTCAGCCCTTTCGTCGATGACCCTGTGACCTCGAACAGAACCGGGTTGTCCTAACCCAGCATGATCTTCCTCCAACCAACCTGGATAGTATGAGGTGTAGCCAGCATGATATCTGTTAGGCTCTATGGAATCCTTTTCAAGGATGATCTTACTGTTCCACATGTGATGAGCTTGACATTTGTATGAGCTATCGTCGTCTTGGAAGTCAACCCTGAAATGACTCATCGTTTCGACCTTTGGTACGACTTGCTTTCTCCCTGCCTGCCTCATGACTCGGAGAGGGACATAGGGATAAGTTCCCCTCAGACCAATGAGTATGAGGAATGGAGCATCCCGAGAGCGGATGATGAACTCTCCAGTGGGGAACCATTCGAACATCCACTGCACCTTGTCTTCTTTCAAGCTTTCAAACAACTCTACCCATCCTCGAGCATCCCCCGGCCGAGCAAACATGTCAGGCATATAGTTCATTCTATTGGGATGGTGAAAGGCTATATGATCGTTCCACGGCCTTCGCGGAAGCTCTTGACGGTATCGTCCCTTTTGGAGATGTTCTATAAGCCAGAGTTGGAGTAATAAGTTGCATTCCTCGAAATGACTGGCCCCTCGTTGACAATTGTCCAAAGCTCGGTAGATCTCCGCAACAATCATGGGAACTATGCTGAAATGTTGCCCTTCAATCCCCTCCATTAGTGTCTTGGTGACCATGGCTAGTCTGGTATGGATCCTAGCCTTCTTCATGGGAAACACTATCATTCCCAAGAAGCAGAACATAAAGACGAAAACTCTCCTGTGGATATGCCCCAATGAGGTGAGGGTGAATTCGTTTGGATAGGTGCGGTACGACTTGCTATGACCGTACCTCTCGTACAGGTAGTCGAAAGGAATATAGGAATCCTTCAAACAAGTCAAATCTGAGTTTTTCTTCAACCCCATCATTTTGAAGAAACCTTTACCCTTGCGGTTTTCTGGCATGGGCAAACTCGGAGTCTCCCAAGGAATACCGGCTAACCCTCCTATTTCCTCGAGCAGCGGGGTCATTTCAAGGTCCCCAAATCGAAATACCGATCTATCACTGTCCCAGAACAATGTCGCAGCCTCTATGATTTTGTTGTCCGGCTGAATCTCCAAAAGAGAGGGTAAGTTTCCCAAATGCTTGCGGACGAGAGTCCGGTCACTGGAATGAAGGTCCTCCCACCATCTTAGCAACCTCGGATGAATATTGGTTACCATGCCGAATCTGGGGACTTCGTGCCTCATTTTCTGCAAAACAAAGCGTTAGTCCCTCACCCCCGCCGGACTCGACTATTTAAATAAATAATTAGCATTTTACAGCATTTAGTTCTCCAAATAAATGCACAGAGTATGGTGTTGTCCGTTTGGATCCCATGGGAACCCAGTGGACTTTGGATAAGGCCATCTTAAAGAGTCATTATGTGGACAACATAACTGACTCGACTAGGCTTGACAGTGATGCATGAACAGTTAAATAGAATAAGGTTTCTATGGGGTGCTAGACCGGTACCCTTGAGCGGACAACTCAAGAGGGAAAGGCACGAAACCGTCGACTGCACCGCTGATCGACTAGTTTTACCGCAAATACGCCTTTGCCAAAATTTAGGGGGTAATAATATTGGAAGAGCGCAACCACTCATCAAGCGTTGCAATGGTATTTGTTTGGAACGAGTGGAATATGATGTTGAAAAATGCAATTACAAGAAATGAAACAAATTGCCACATATTTTCACGTTCATAATGATTACAATAATTGCTCGGAAATTACAACGGTATTGAAGAAAAACAGTAAATGAAAGCGTTAAAGAAAAAGGAACAAAAAGACAAGTCAGTTTTGAATAAAGGTATTAAACAAAGCAGTAAAGAAAGTAGTAAAGTCACATATAGCATGAAGTGGTAAAAGCCTAAAGATTCCCCAGCAGAGTCGCCATGCTGTCGACGCCCCCCTTTTTCTCGCGAAATCGGGTTTACGATGTCACACCTCCTTTTTCACTACTACACCCGTGAGGGTGTAAAGGAGTTTTTCCAATTAAAGGACAATCGGAACGGGATTTATTATTAATATTCAGAGTCGCCACTTGGGAGACTAATGGTGTCCCAAGTCACCGATTGAATCCCGATCCGAGGAAATTATGACTCTGTTAACAGTCCGCGAACCACAACTCCGAGTAAGGAATTTTGTTAACCCGGGAGAAGGTATTAGGCATTCCCGGATTCCGTGGTTCTAGCACGGTCGCTCAACTGCGGTATTTGCTTTTATCTGATTTTAAAACATATTCTAACCTATGTGCCCTGTATTTTAACCACTTTTACTTTATGTCTTTTAATAAGAATTGCAACGTGGTGAAAATGTATCTCGAACCACGTTACACCAGTGCACCCGTGGCTTTTGACGCATTTCGACTCCGTTGAGATTTAGATTTGGGTCACATAAATATGCACCCGTGTTTAAGAAAGTAGTATTACTAAAATACGCGCCTAAAGCAACCACGCGTCTTGGCTTTGCGAGGGCCATGTAATTTTGCTAAGTGGAACGCCTCGGATTCCAATTGTTTTTAAAAGAAATATTTGAACGGGGCCAAGCATCTGAGATTTTATCGGGCTTGGCGCGCCTCAATATGTTCTAGCTTGACGGTCTTAAACTAATTCATGAGGGTCGCGCACTGCGAGTTATCTAATTAAGGCTCACTTCAATCTAGTTAATGGGCTTAACCCGCTAGAACTAAATGTGATTAAAGGCTTCCCTTCGACTGACTAATGATTCACACGAGGAGAGTTACTTATTTCGAGCAAGGGATCAGTCTAGCACAAATGGACCGAGGGTCCAACTAATAAACCTGATGTGATTAAACATGGTTGCAGATTTAACACCTGAAGAAATCGGGCTCCAAGTGAAGCCAGGCCCAGCAACGTGAAATCAATATTGGGTCCAGTATGGGGCACAGTGGTCCACAGGCGTAAGACTACTTTGAGTTCCGAATTGATATCAATCCAAGTGGGCTCATGAGAGAGCCCATTTTTTAACGCAGGCCAGCTTCAAACAGAAATGAATTTTCTGGTTCGATACCACGCAACAACACAAGGAAGTAGTCTTCGCGTTTGATTTTACAATACATGTTATTTTGCCTCAAAGGAATTAAACAATTTCCGATTCTAAAACACATTTCAATACTTTCCATGCAAACACCTTAATCCACACATCAATACGAGCCTCATTTAAATTATAGCCACCATCTGGGAATTATTAATGAAACTAACACATGATTGTTCCAGCTACTCGCTCACCAAATGATCATTCTTTCCATTTCATGAATTATTAACAGGCCTATTCGAATTAATACAACGGGCTGCAGAAATAGGCTCATATTCAAGACTTCTAGTTCTAACCTTTATATGCAATATTCAGATATTGAGACCATGAACTACAATCAATTCCAAATGTCTCAACAGTATCGAAAACAGTCTGATCCAGTCCCAATTATACAGTCCAGATTTATACACATACAAATCGATTCTAGGCTATGCTGTACAATTAAACTTAACGCCTATTTAACTACCAACACCCACAGTCCAGGCAGCATATTTCAGGATCAAGTAAAAGAGTAATTGTATTCCATTTCAGCTCAAAGTTACAGCAGAGTCAATTCAAGCGTGTACCTGGGAGTCAGTGATCAATAGGAAAGAAGGAAGATCAGCAGCAGTAACAGTTTTTAGCAGCAACCAGGGAATAAGTTCAAAATTCAGTATTAAATCAGTTGACACAGCAAAGTCAGGAACAGATTTAAAACTCCAGCGATAGATCAAACACAACCACAATTTTTATCACTGATGCAACCCAAAACCAATTCGAACACCCAGAAATGAACACAGGAAAGCAGACACTCGAACTAAGATCATAGTTGACTCGAATCTCCCAAATCCCCTGCCTAGATTACTCAAATTGT